ACCCGAGGGCGAAGCACGAGGGTGCATACCTGGCGAGTTCAATCCCCGAAAGGGCGCTTTTGCTTCTCCATGCAACGTCCGTGGCTGCCGTGTGCTCAGCCGGAGAGGCCGGGAGACTGTTTTTTTGTTTGTTTTTTTTCGCGAACTCGATTTTTCTTTTCTGCTTGGCGAACTGTCTAGGCCTTTTCACCAAGCTCAAAGTGAGGGCCCACCTCCCAACTAACTCATGACCGTCATGAGGTGCCTGTCCGGTGGGTGGCTAGACAGGCCGAGTGCGTGCTCTCGTGCATGTGCGTGTCTCGCTAAACACAACAATGTAATAGTCCTACGCATCGTCTCGTGAGTGGGCGCTACTCCTGACGTTGGATCGTCGCTTGATCTGCATGTCGCCTCGCTGACCGGCCTGCCCTCCCCGCCCGACATCGTGGTGGCTGGATATCGACGCTCGACGGGAAGTTTCAGCTTCGACCATGCTCAAGATGCTGAGATTTAATTCAGGATGCATTCCGAATTAGCACATGATGATGTGGCCTACCCTTCCGCACTAGCTTGCAATTCTTCCTCGCTCTTCGGGGACCGGTCTGTCACGTATGGAAGGAAGGGACAGCGCAGCAACACATACACGAGAGGATAGAAGAGGTGCTCGTGTCTGCTTCTTTGCCCCGCCACAAGAGCCTACCAAATCCAAAGGCTTCCGCACAAGTCCTCATCTAAACATCTCATACACCGAATCCGTCCCCTAAACAGGATGAGTTAGAGGTCCCTCCCTTACCGCCAGGTTGTCCCGCTGTGCCCCAAGCTGTTTGTTGATTTCGTGTGCCAGCTCACTGCGGTCGCCCCCGCACTCAACCTCCGTCGCAACAGCCACACTGCATGGACAGAACAGAGAACAAGATGGTGATCCGTGTCGCATGTCTCTCCGATAATATCCATACACTATCTTTCGTACCCGACAGTGAGGACTTGCCTGTCCTCAAGATTTAGACCGTCAAGCCCCTCGTACTCATCGACTACAAATGCACCAGTCGAGCACGCAACAGTCAGGCCACCTTCGCTCGCATCAGCATGCATGCATACACGAAGGCCTCCTTGTTGTGTCCGTCCGCTTATGCATGGAGTGAAGTTCGCACCTGCTGGCGATGCACCAACTGCCTGGGCGGAACCTGACGGCGCCATACCATTGAGCACACCAGTGACAGCCCCGCAGGTAAGAAATTTCATCGTATCGCTTAATGGTCGACTGGGCAGCGTTATACCTGTGTGGTCAAGGTGGGTGTCTCGCAACATTGCGAACCGCATGCGCTCATGCTGTACCACCCTCAAATCGTGCTCCACTTGCAACATCTCATCCTGACAATGCAAGCATCCAATGCACGTGTGCATCTACCCCCAGACCCTTTTCTCCGGTCACCTGCAGTTTCTGGATCTTCTGCTGCATGGTAAATTCCATTTTGTCCACGCGGAGGGGCCGGGAAGCCGGGCACTGAGAAGCATCACCATCGTCCGCCTGCGACTCCAGCGAGCTGCTACACGGCCGCCTCTCGGCGGCGCGTTTGCGGTACTCAATCTCGCTCTCCGCTGCCAGATAGGCGCTCTGCAGGTGGAGTGTGCCATGGGTAAACAGCAGAGAGGCACAGCAGGCGGGTTCACGTGCGTTCGTGCGTGTGTGTGGGCTGGTGGTACGTCCTCTTGATCACCTTGTCGCTTTCCACTTCTTCTGCTTTGACCTGTGCTGCAAGGGTGTCTTGCGTCTGCTCGTCGAATGCCCTGTTCTGTTGCTCTACATCGGTCCTGGTGCCACACAGCTGCAAAGACAAGAGTAAAACGCACAACGGATTCCGGCAAGCATTGCTCACCCATCCCACCCACCTGGAGAATGACGTCTTCCACCTGCTGCTTTGCCCGAGCCCTCTCGGCATCGTCAGCATCCAAACCCTGTGGAGGTGAAGAGATAAGGGCGGAGGAAAGGAGGACAGAAAAGGTGACAGTGTCGGGTGAGGGATCTGTGAGTGCACACGGCTTCGGCCCATTTGTCTGTGTCAACCTCTTTGTGGCTCACCTGCTCCAGCTGTTTCGCATCAGAACGCAACTTGGCCTGCGGACCACAGACAAAGGACACGATTCTCGGCAACTTGACATGTCCCGCTCCCCTCCATGTGTCGAGATCATCTCTACCAGGTTGTCATTGATCGCTACAAACTCCCGATGCTCCTCAACATTGCGTCGAGCACCGGTCGTGTTGCCTTCAGCCTTGCTACCACCGCCTCCCATCACTCCTTCGCCGCCCACCCCAGCGGTCTCCTCGGCCCTGCCAGCCCTGGTGTGCCTCGACCGGTGCTTTTTCTTGACCGTTTTGCCGCCTCCCATGGCCCCTTCTATCGGCCCAACGGGATCGTCCCCCACATCCAGCTCCCCTGCCATGTCAAGGCCCGTCGGGGACTCGATCAGCTCGTCTGCGCCACCGGGGAATAGGTGGGCGGCACTCGCACTGACATCAGAGACTGAGGCACCCGCTGCAGCCGGTGGTGGAGGTGCTGCAGAGGAAAGTGCGGGGTTGTCGTCGAGTCGATCGCCCCCCTCTGCGTCATAGTAGCGCAGCGATTGGCTCTGAGGTGTGACGTCGGGGCGCAACATCGCACCGTTGGTGTTGACATGGCCCTCCTCGACATCCACGAAGTCACACGACGACTCGGCTCCATCGGCATCGCCCAATGGAGGCTCGAGGGCGGCCTGCAGTGTCTGGCCCTCACGCGCCGCATCACCGACCACCATTTCTGAGTCGCCGTCGACGTCGCCCACGGCAGGGGCAGCAGAACCTGTTGGTTGGGACGGACGGACGAAGCGACAGAGAGACAGGTGCACAGTTTGTGGTTGTATGTTTTGCCAGCTTACTGTCGACGTGTGTTTGGTTGGAGGCCCTCTGTGTTGCCGAGAGGAATGGCATGTGGCCAGGGGCTTGCTCGGCCTGTGCGGCACCTTGGTCTTCTGCGGTCTTCTCCTTTGACCCGCTGCGACCCTTCTGCAGACATTCAGTCGATGGAAGCGCCCGTATCTGTCTTGGCAGTCTGATGCATGTCAGCTGTTGCTAGGTGTCCTTCACCCTCCGCTCCCACCTTTCGTTGGCTCTGCTTGTCCTTGCCTTTGCGCGCTTCCTCCGCGATGAGCTTGCGGGCGTTCTCAGCGGCCCTCTGGTCCGCCTTCTTCAGGTCCGCCTCAGCCGTCTTGCGAATCAACTCAGCACAATCCTGGCAATATATCGACATGTGACGATCAGATAATGGGCATGAACATGCATAAGGAATTCGTTTCTTCATTCATCTGCAATCTGTCATTGTAAGCGACTGACCTTGTGTCCCCTCTTGGCCGCCATTCTCTCTGCGCTTTCATTGTCCCTGTTGACGGCGGCAACGTCGATGAGGGGCAGTATGTCGGGTCCCAGTAGCCACCTGATCAGCTTCTTTCTGCCGGCCCTGGCCGCCACGTGGAGGGGCAGGTTGCCCTCGCTGTCTGGCTGCCGAAGAGCGGCGGTGAAGTCTTCGCCGCCGTACTCCTTGAGCACCTTGAGCAGCTCAACCGCATCGCGCTCCAACTCATCCTCGCTGTGGCGATTCTCAACCCACTCTACTGAGACAGATTAATGGACGGGTCGATGGTGCACCCAACACAACACAACACAACACAACACGACACGACACGACACGACATGACATGACATGACAGGGACCTTTGTGCGAGTGTGTGCCCTGACCATTGTCATTGTCTGTGGCTTTGCCAGTCTCTCTTTCGACGTCCTCGTTCGGTCGCTCGCTTGAGGCTGATGCAGCAGCGGCGGCGGCGGGTGGGTCAGCGGCAGCGTGTGTCTTGGTGACAGTCCTGCGCACTAGGTTGGAGCGCTCGCCTCTGGGTGGCCCTTCGCACGCCATGTGCACAAACGTGACAGAATCCCAACGACCTGACAATCCAATCAACGAAAGGGAAGAAAAGGGCATCGTATGGTTGCCTTGTCAGTGTTTTTTGTCTTGTACGGCTCTATTGCGACGTACTTTTGCGCGGTGTTCTGTTGGTGTGTGGGTTGTGTGGGTTTTGTATGTTGGTCTGCAGGATGGGCCTTTCGCGCTCGGACTTGTCCTTGACGATCACCTCCAACTTGTAACCCTTCTTCATGTCAGAATCTGAGCAGGGGACAGTCACGGTCATTCATGTACCCCACATTGATGCCCTGTGCTCGCCCTTGTACTCTTCATGAGGAGGAATTTGGCCTCGTTGGGTCTCGCCCAGAAGCACGCGGCGCCCAACGGAGACGATGTGACGTATTCAATTTGCTTTGCTGACCAAAGAAATCACAGCAGACACACCATCCACGCATCAATTCACCCGCTCAGGCAGCCATCCATCCTCGTGTCGTGGCTAACTGACGTTTGCGCAGGATGGATATCGGTCCGATGGCCTCGGTGTCCACCTTGTCCGTCTGTGCCAGTTTCTGATACAAATCAGGGGAGCGGCGCACTTTGATTTTGGTATGGAGAGGCCTCACTTATCCGTACCACAAGCATGCGGAGGTTGCCGAGCATCACAGCCTGGGTCACCATGGGGGTCGGCACGTAATCTACGGACTCATAACCACACGCACACCATGGATATAGTGTAGAGCTAGTTGGGTACATTGTGGCTTGACTCGATTGAGCGACGGTACCTTTGGTGATCATGGTGGCTGGTTCGTTGTCTGGCTTAGCGAGCTGCAGCGGTTGCTCGATGAGCATGTGGTGGAAGTTGAGGTCACCGTTCCTCTTGAGTATCTCCTTCTTGTACTTGAGCAACAGATCTAACGCCTTGCCCTGGTTGAACGTCACCGCACCCTGCTCAAGCGGTAGGCAGACCAGTGGCGATGCACACGACCCGACCCCTTCCCGTCTCACTCCTTATGCTTTGTTCTTCAGCGACCTTCTCACCTGTATGGCCGAGTCGACGGCGTTGAGATGGACGACTTTGGGCATCATGGCCATCCTGGCTTGCAGCCACAGGAGGTTGGGCTTGGTGAGGTCGCCCAGCGTGGTCGTGCCGTCCTCATCGGTGGCGTACGCGCGGATCTCGACGGCGATGTCGTCAGGGTCCAAGGACAGCCGCCGCTCCGCGGCCTCATGACCCTCATCCTCACTCCTACGCGCCCTCGCAGCCTTGCTCCTCTCACGCGCAGCAGATCTCTCGCGAGTGACTTTGCGCTTGGCCTTGCTGTCTGCTTCGTCGGCATCCTCCTCCCTCACCAGGGAATACAGGTGACACAGGCACTAAAGCGGGGAAGGAGGGAGAGAGAAGGATGCACCGACATCCTAATCCATCTGTGTGCTCACTTGTAAGAGTTCCTGGTGTCGAGCTGGGTCTTGAGAGTCAATGTCAAATAGATCAGGTTGTTGTCTACTCATCCCTGGTCTTGTTTACCGCGCTGAGCTTTGTTTCATCTATTTGGCCTAGAGCAGAGTGACTGTCCTAACTGAGCTGTCCTGCCCACGCCGATAGCCATTCCACCTGTGAGCTTAGAAGAGGGGGAGGACGTATGTCGTACAAGCAGGTACATGCACGCCTATGCACGCCTATGCCCCCATCTACCGTTCGTACAATGTATTCTCTCATTGCAGCGAGGTCCTCTCTATCAGGTGCCATTCTCTCTTCAAGCGAGGACAATAAGCAAAACATATATAATGTTCGCAGATGTTCCGTCCCATAAGGCGGCTGCATCGGCGACTGAAGGAGTTCGACAGCTACCTGTACATGACCAAGAAGCTGGAGGTACCCATGCACAGGATATCATACAGGCCTGTGTCGCTCCTGCATTCTTATCCTTTGTGTATCTCCTGTAGTATTACAAATGGGCATTCCTGTCAGTGACTCACAAAAAGGCAACAGAGAGGCCATGAGCACCGACAAGCACTGTGTGCGTATGTTGTCAGGAACCACCCGAGCATGGTTCGTTTCCGTGAGTCGGTCAAGTTCGCCGAGCAGATGTCGCGTCGCAACACAGAGGAGGTCGGCGGGCGGGCCAGTCAGGCCATCGACGGCCTCCGCGAGCGGCTCTCGCGCCAGCCCTTCTGGGAGTGGTTCAACGAGTGGACCAAGGACATCGCCGGCAACAACCGCAAGTTCATCATCCGCCATTATGTCCGGGCCGCAAGGGTGCTCGAGCGGTACCACCCCTACCGCAATGCAACGGTCGCACAAGTGACCAATGCCGTCAAGGAGAGCGATGTGGGAAGGTTTATAAGGAGTTACTGGCGGAGCATCCCCTACCCAATGACCTACTCTCTCATTGCGGTCAACGGGGCGATATTTCTGATCTGGTGCATACATAGAGCCCGGGAACGACAAGATATTAAAGCTTTCTGTCTGCCCACGTAGGTCTCTGGCGCGTGAGGGAAGATACTGGGAGAGGGCAGAGATGGTAGGATGAGCCAGACAATGACACACCCCACAAGGCGTTTGCGTGGTGTAGATCTGTGTTGGTCGGTGTGCGTCGTGTTGTGTCGTGTCAGTACATGTCCCCCACTTTCATCAGCTTGGCTTTCATGTGGAGGTCAGCTGAACAGCACAAATCCCAACAGAACGCACAGGCAGTACGGGTGGATGTGTGGATCTGTATGTGTACATCAGGCACTTTAGTCTGTCATGGGACAAGCTGCGTCGTGGCTACTGGCACACGTTGATCCTGTGCAACTTCTCACACAATCATCTCACACACGCCCTATTCAACGGCGTCACACTCTTCTTCTTCGGAAGGTAGGGAGTGGACGGGCGCACACGGCAGGAAGGAACCTCACTGAGAAAGAGAATCTGCCTGTCTTGTGTTGCAGGATGCTCGAGTCAGAGCTGGGTGGGAAACAGCTGTTTGCTATCTATATGGTACACACAGCACTGCACAGCCAATGCAGTCAGTCAGTGAGCCAAGTCTCTGGAGGCCGATGGTCTGAACGAGTTTCTTGCTGTTCTTGCCGTGTGCGTTCTTCACCCAGCTGTGTGGCATGGTGGGCAGCCTGGTGCAGGTGGGCAGACCCATTTAGCCAGCGCATGTGCCTGCCATTAATGTGTGATGTGACCAGGCCTACACGATGAAGGAAGAGGACAGGGGACGGAGTCCATGGTAAGACTCAACTGGTCAACACGCACGTGGGAGTACTCACGTTATTTAGCTGAGATTCTACTTAGCTTAGATTCATCTCTCTCCCATGTGGGAATGAATGTGTGTGCTGTGCGGCTGTGCGTGACTCAGTTTGGGTGCGAGTGCGGCCATCTACGGTTTGATGATGATGGCTGTGTGCCGCAACCCGGGCATGAAGGTGGCTCTCTACGGAGTCGTCCAGGCGCCACTGGTAGTCAATCAGCCTACTCACCTTCATAGATACACGCAGACACAAGGCTTGTGCATGTGTGCCATGTTGAGTGTGCAGGGTCTGGTGCTGGCCCTCCTCTTCCTGTACGAGAACCTAATCCCCCAACCAAAGGAAGGTACGCACCACGCCACGCATCGTGCATACTTATGTGGCACACCGCCAATTCGTACGTGCCGTGCCGTCAGCTGGCTCGACCGGGCATTTCGGGGGCATCATCGCGGGTAGGCACTCTCCTATCTCTCCGCCAACAAACGTACACAAACGTCTCTGCATATCGGTACGTGTGGCGTGCAGGGGCGCTGCTGCATTTCCTCATCTATCGCGTGTGATCCCGAAGAGATCAATGCATCGTCGTGGTGTGGGTGTGGTGTGGGTGGGTGGGGGACATTGCTGTGCTGCTGTGCGGTCTTGCTGCGAAGGAAGCCCGCCAACAACACAATGAAGTTCAGGACGGGGCTAGAGGGTCACTTCTACAGGGAGGGCCACTCCTACAGGGAGAGGCCCTCCCTGTAGGAGTGGGAGAAACAAACCTTGGTTGATGCAGGCGAGAGGCGGCCAGAGCGGCAGCTCAACAAGCGTGTGCAGACATCGCTGCAGCAGACAGACGCTTTTGCCCCGTATCCAGCCGGGCAGAGGCCGCAGTAGCTAGACATAGTCAATACGGGTTTTCCGCTGACTACGGCCTTCACAAGCTGCGCTGCATCGATCTGTCGATGGATGGACGGATATACTGGCGGATGGCAAGTGTATGTCTGATTTCGCCGGGCTGCGCCCTCGGCTATTTTGTCCTGTGATCTCGCTCCACGCCAGCCATGTGACACATATTTCATATGTACGGTACTCGTTCAAGGCGTCGGAATCCGTATGCCCACAGCAGCCTTTAAATGTCCAAATGTCCAACAGCTCCACACACTTCATCCATTCACATGCATCTTGCCATACTCATCCCCATCCACGCCTTCCTCATACACGTTGACGCCATCCCGCTGAGCGTTGGGCAGCGTAATGCCCCAGGCAGACGCCGCCACCCTCCGAGGTGCAGTGGTGGGGTCGTCATGTACATGTGGCTGTGGGGTGACAGTCGCCTCTTCTCCCCAACATGACGAGTCCTTGTTGATGGTCTCGTACAAGTGGGATGCAAGCTTCCTCGAGTCGTGGGACAGAGACGACATGAACTGCGCATTGACGTCGATCGGTCTGCAAGGACACACCACCATACAGTGAGAACACAAAAACACTTTGTCTTGGCTCCACCTCCATCCCATAGCCTCGAGCAGTCGCTGTCTCAGCGCCACCCCGCCGGCAGAGTTCATGTCGATGACCCAGTCATCTGGCCGCGCTCCTTTGTCGGGAGGCTTGTCCAGGCCCTCGTCCATGAGCAGGAGGCGCGAGGGGGTCCCCATTGCACCCGACGTGTCGCCCTTCTCGAGTGGCGCCATGGGGGTGTCGCCAGCAAGGAAGAAGAGCATGCCGTGCTCGGCTGACGCTATGTCGGCGCGAAACGGGGTCGACGGGACCTGAGGATTAAAGAGAAACGAGGCCGCATGTCATGAACCTGCTGGTTGCGACGGTGCTCCCTCGCGCCTGCTCAAACTCACTTTGTAGTCCCTGGTGTGGGGCAGTAGGCACTGCCTGAGGGCATCCTCGATGACAGCTAGTCGGGCGGCACCGCCTGTGTGTTGCCTGGGGAAAAACAGCGTCTCACTCTGCCTGGAGGGGTCATCAAAGAACTGCTCGAAGTGCCGGATGGAGAGAAATGACGCTCTCAACGCTGACGCACCCGTGGGGGACACCAAATGCTGAATTGAGCAAGGAAGCGACACAAAAGGAGGGGCATAGATGAGATGCAGGTATACATCGATGGTCGGGTCACTTGAGCTGCGAGCCATCCTGCTCTGAGTCTGGGCAGCGTGGCACCCTCAAAGGCCAGCCAGCTCGACGCGCTGGGCTGGGCCGCACTCAGATCCTCAAACCTGTGCACAGTCAAACACCCATTGAGCACCGTGGCTGAATTGGCTGACTCGCTCCATGCGCACCGTTGCCCAAGCATCAACAAGACATCCAGCGGCAGATAATCCAGGGCGGCAAACGACCACAGGATCGCCCCAATCTGACAGGAAACGGCGGAAGCACCACGTGAAGAATCGTGACACGTATGAGGCGAGAATGCCTATCGTCCATACCGAAGGGATAGTGAGTTGGTCCTTGAGGATGTGCAAGCGCAGCGCGGCACGGCGTAGCAGCGCCTCTCGCTGACCTGCACGTATCGATGTCTCTGTGCTCGAGGGGTCGGAGCCCAGCAAACGCGCCGCACTCACGCACAGACTCGACAGCTGCATGCAGCACTCATGAGGGGCAGGCACGATGCCATCCATCCCTCGAGGTGTCTGTCCCATTTTACCTGGTTGATGTCGAGCACTTGCAGTGAGACACCCACTTTGTCGACTGCACACTGGTGACAGACATACAGACAGACAGACAGACGTGTCACAGAGAGGGCATATAGCCATGCACATGTGCGCGATTGCGGTTTGCATCTTACCCCGAGAGGCCGCGGTGTAGCGGTATTTGTGTCTGCAGGTGCGTTGGGTTCTAGGGCAGTCTGGGGGAAGTGGCTGGCCTCATCCAACACCTGACGTGTACGTATCAACCCACGTTGGTACACGGATGGGTGCATGGATGGATGGACAGGCACATGATTGTTGCTGTCGTGTCAGGTGCTCAGTCATCCGATGCATACCGTAAGCCACAGCCGCATGACCCTCCTTGGCGACCCGTGCAGTCCCTGCCCATCAAAGAAGGCGCTCAATGGCACGTCCTCGATCTTGGCCCAATCTGATCACACGCACAGTGTTCGCCTTGTCAAAGCACCCTTTCCTTCTCATCCGTCCGCTCATGTTGTCACTCACCTGTCCTGCCTTTCGGCAGTGCCTCGGAGGCGAGGTCGAGCTCCGCCTGCTGGACCCAGCTCCAGTCGGTGAGTGTCCTGAGGAGGATCTGCTGCCTGATGGGCCGCGTGAGTGCTCCCTGGCCGTGCAGCCGCTCCAGCAGCCCCAGGGACTGCCGAAGGCTCTCGCCCTGCAACCTGCTCTGCAGCACTGTGGCGCACTCACGGGCCAGCGGCATCAGAGACGCGTCATACTGACCGCGGCGCTCCAGGGCCTATACAAGAAAAACATGGATGTTTTCGTGTCCGTCCGTCCTTCTCGTCCGTCTGTGGTGTGACCTTGAGGATCTCCGTGAGTTTGTGTATGGTAAGGGTGTCCTTGGACTGCTCCACGAATGCCTTGACTATCTCATCCAGAGCCTCGTTGCCCGTTGGGGGCTTCCGCCCCGCTAGCCTGCAGAAGAGCGCCGCCAGCCGGCCCGTCGACACGACAACCTCGTGCTCCAGGTTGTGAACTTCACGCTGACGTTCCCGCATTCTCCGCCTGGCCTTGTCGCGTTCCTCTGGCTCGGGTGATTTCTCGTCGGCTGGCTGCGACCCGGACCCCTCATTAGCCGCCGCCTCAGGATCCATCTTAGCCGTGCTCTGGTCGGCTGCCGCAGCCGGTTTCTCAGCCTCTGGTTGCTCCTCCTCTATCGGCATACGCGTGACCTTGTCGACATCAGCGCGTGTCTTGCCGAGTCGGTCGCAGAGGTCTGTATGCTTGCTGACGGCCCGATTGATGGAGTCGCGGATGAGCTCCTCCTGCTCTGATGATGCCAGGTCGAGTGTGTCGAGGATGGGGATGTACTCGATCGTCTGCACGGGCGTGAGGGGGGTACCCAGGTGACGTACGCACTCGCACAGTGACACAAGACGCACCAGGGGACAACTCTGACCGAAAAGATCAATACATCGTCGTAAGGCCAGGCTCATGGGTATGGCTCTCTGTTCACCGCGCTCGGTCTGTTGTGCCAGGCGTTGAGAATCTCGAGGAGATTGGCGAGCTTGAGGTCTTTTCTCCTCTCATACAGCCGTCCGAAGATCACCAACAGCGCCTTGGTGGCGCTGTCAGAGTCGAACTCGCTCAACTCCCTGTGCAGCTCCAGCAGCAGCCCCGGTGATGGCTGGGTCATCTGGTTGGTGTGGTTGGCAGCCATCCGACATAGGTGTGAGAAGACAGGCAGCTGTGCGGCGGATAGGGCGCCGTAGAGGCGCCGCAGGTGGTGAAAGAATCGGACGAGGCTTCTCGTGTCGTATCTGGCCGACTGCGTCTCCGCCAGGACTGCATCGACGATTTTCTCGAGGGCTGGGTCGTCTTTCTGCGTGACGATGGCCATCAGAGATGCCAGCTGATCCATCGACTTATCTTCGACAGCCAGGGACTTGGTCAGCTCACCCTGGCAAGTCCTTATCAGCATGGTGATAGCTCTACCCACCATTTCTCGCGCTTCGCTCGGCTCCCCCTCTCGCAGCGGGTGATGCCTGAGCCACTCCTGGCACTTGGTCAGGGCATGCACAACAGCCGCCTCCTCGGCCTGACGCATTCTTCTGCTCGACAGCCTCCGGGACAGTACCGACAGGAGGACGTGAACACTCTGCGACTCGGGGCGGTGCTGTATGAGGCGAGACAACGTCGAGATGATCAGGTCGGGGGATGGGGGCTGGAGAGCCGTGTTCGCTGCGCGAACGATGGCCTTCTCGAGCACATCCAGGTGTTCTGCTTGGACTTGGTTGGTGGAGCAGAGTGCCGACAGAGTACCGACTGCCGCCTCGAAGGGCATCTGGGGCACGGCTCGCATCACGGTGGGGAGCATCTCCATCGCCCTGATGAATAGAGAATCCCGCAGACAACCACAAATGTGGATGGATTTGTATCTCTCTTCCCCTCCAGTGGCGACCTGTGCTCGAACCCCATGTTGAAGAGTCGATTGAATGTCAAGGATAGCTGCTTTGGGTTCATGATCTTCACGACTCGGGGCAGGTTCTCGTCCATGAGACGCTGGAAGGCCCTGTCGTCCTCACAGAGCATCCGCCACTGCTCGCCTGTGCTGGTGCCGAGTGGACACGTGCGGTGTAGCACATTGAGGAAGTCCACAGTGTCGTCAGCATTCAGGTAGCGGCCGTGTTCGGCATAGAGCTGGAGAAGGCGACGGGTCGTATCTGAGCTCCGCACTGGACGGAAGGCTGACAGACTCCTCCCCATGGCGCTCTACCAACAACCATACATCGCAGACGTGAATTGCAAGAAGGCCATCAGTGTCTGTGCGCTTCTCACCGTCCTTATCATCTTGGCCATGACTTTGGCGCAACTGCCAGATCTGGTGACCCAAGCTTCCCTCCGAGTAGACGTTTCACAGACGGAGAGCCCTCAACCAATAGAAGAAGGTGCGATGCCATCGCTGCGGAAGTGCTCTCCGTATACAATGGAGCCCGCGCTCCTTGCTCGCCTTTTCCCTCTCCCTTCACGGTTTCGTCTCAACAACCTGCCGCCGGCGCCCTTGCTGCTGCCTGTGCTCCGTACGGGACGCCCGGGCATCTTCAGCCCAGCGGCGCCGGGGAGCGTTGTCGCTAAAGTTTCCATCTGTGACGTACCAACGTTTGAGGACCGGACGATGTACTGCTGGAACAGATCTCCGTGCAACAGCTGGCCCAAAAGGGTGAGATGATCATACACACACAAAGACGGATTCCACGCATCTCACGCTGGTTTGCATTGAGCTTTGTTCCGGCGATTGTCAGGCGAATAGGGGTGCCCGTCCCACGTGTCGGTTCATGCGGCGCATTCGACGGCGGCTGAGGACGGGCAGGGGATTTCACTAGCTGCTCGGCCGCTCAAACTACGGTGGAGGGAGGGGCGGGACACTTTGATGGATTATGGAGGTTCCTCAAGAGCAGACTGATGCCGATGTGATCCATTTGTGTTTAGTAGTCCAAGTAGACAGACGCGCCTCCGGAGGAGACCGTTTGACGTTCCTGAGATGGTTCTCTCTCACATGCCTATCGTCTCTAGGGGTCGATGCATTTTGTATGCATGGTCAAGTCTCTCCGTCACGGTCAAGTCTCTCGGTCTCCATTTGTGTGCAATGGCTTTCAGCTTGGCATTCTGGTTGTCCTGGTCATTGGGATGTCCGTGCTGGCGTTAAATCAGTGGGATGTCCGTGCCGGCGTTGAATCAGCTGCAGATAGGCTGCAGATGGCCACTTCCCGACCGCCACCCCCTTCACGTCTCCCTCCTCTCACACCCTCTTCTTGCTCGGGCTGGCCCCACTGCTGCTACTGCTACTGGCGATGATCTCCTGCGCTTGGTAGCGGCCTGGGGATTCGCCTTCTTCGATGACGTGGTGGTCTGCGGCTCGAGGTCGAGGTGCGTGGGGCAGTTGCCCACGCATATCAGCACCTCCTTGTGCGGGCACTGTTAAGGTGCCCACACAGTGGCATCGTTCACTCACTGAATGGTCTAGCATAGGCGTCAAGAAGCTCAATGCAACAGGATGCTGAGGCAACCGCAAATAATATCACATTGCAAACACATTTCAGGTCTGGTTGAACGGATTCTCCGGCGCCTTCTTCCACTAAAGAAGAAGCCACATGGACAGTCACAACTTTTGATTCTCTGACTGCGTTCCCACTATCGGTCCCACCTGCTTCCAAAGCAGCTGTTGCAACTGTGATCTCTTCAAGCTTGGATTCTGCATGGCCATGCACGCATCAACCGACATCCATGACTGAATGCGTCTGAAGAGTTGAGGGCGGACCTCCTGCTGCAGCCTTGGCATCCATTCGTCCTCGTACGCCTTGAAAACCTGGACGCATCACATGAGTTACATGCATCACGAAACGTCGAGCTCTTGTCTCGCAGCGACTCACCGCTTTGACTCGCCTCTCAGGATGAAGATCGGTGGCAACCCCAGCAGATGAAGCACCGACAGAGAGAGCAGAAACAGCCTCGTCCAGACCGCTTGCCTCCACAACGATGTCACCCCTCTCCTCTGCCTCGAGCTGCTGCTGACGCAACAACTGGTTGATGTTGGGCTCCAGGGGCATCTCGTCGACCGTCTGGTCAGAAAAACCGAAGGTCAACCATCCGGTGCCTCTGCTCCACTACCTACCGTCGGTTTGGTGCTTTCAGCATGAGGTTTGGCAGCGGCGGCAAGCAGAGCACGCTGAGCTATTTCGGCACGAGTCATTTTCTTGACTGGATTTGCCTGAGAGGACACGGCAATTGCACAGTCAGGCCAATCACAACTCGAATGGTGTTCTCTCGCTCCGGTACCTTCTTGCCCAGCTTGCTCATGGCTCTCTCCTCTGCTTCCAATAGCTCCTTCTTCTCCATCTTCCGCCTGTTCTGCTCTTGGTTCCGTTGCTCGGTGGCCTCCTTTCGTTCTCTGATGCGCGTCGCTGTCTTGTCATCATCTCTCCAGTACTGCGATAGAAGAGGACAGATTGAGCGTTGTGCCAGTGTAGTGCCTGCCCAGTCCTCTCTGACCTCATCCTCCCTCCTCGCCTGCTCCGCGGCCACTTTCTCGGCTTGTGCAGCCGCCTTACGGCTTCGGGCCTCCACGGCTTTCTGGTTCACGCCAAGGTTGGGCATGATAGGCTGCAGAAGTGAAGGACTTGGCCGAGAGGACTTCAATGCCGAGGACTTCGGGCAAGACCGTTCCCGTTAGGACTGGTATTCCGTCAAACCCTTAAAGAGACGGTCGTTCTTGATCTAATGTGATGGGATGACGTTTTAGGCGTCTTCATTGATTCGAAGGCCGAGCGCATGTCACCCCGTGCAAGCCTCCTCCCCTGGATTTGAATCTTTTTAAAATTACTCCCCCTTTTTATAATTTCAGTTTCGAATTTTCAAAATTACTCCTTTGATTTTTTGAGGGGTTTGCGAAGTTTTAAAATGGAGATGGCTGGTTTGGAGGCGGCGAAGTGAAGAGGGTTTAAACGTGTTTTCAATGGCTAAAACAAGCCTCAAAATAGCATTTCCTGCCCCACTCCCAGGCCCCCCCC